TATCATTAATTTTATTTAGTATTTAAGAACTCTATGTATATTAATTCAGATATGAATTTTTATATTTTTGTTTCAATATTTAAACAGCTAATGTTTGCTTTTGCTCTTCTCGATTGCAGTCGATAGATCGCAAATCCGTTGTCCAGTGTTATATTTGTGTGCTTTATATAGAATAGCGTTGATAATGTGATGATAATGCTGCTGCCTGTTGAGCTCATCATAATCATGATGATGATGATTATGACGATGACGATGACGCTCTCAATGAGACAGTCAGAGCAGTGCCTGTCATCTGGTATTTGGCAGGCATTCCTCGTAACATTCCTAAGCGACCATCGCAGGCTTCCCACTCGCTTTTATTTTATTTCATTTTTTTCCCTCTCTTGTTCTGCTTCTTTCTATTTCTGCTGCATTGAATCTCTAAGAATTGTCTGCGTTTTCATCTTGCTCTAGGACATACATTAACTGTGTGTGTGTGTGTGTGAGTGAGTGTGAGTGCGTGGGTGTTTGATTGGGTCATGAGATGCCACCCACAGCACAGCCACACACAGTTTTGTGAAAAGTTCATTAATAAACTTTCGTTTGCTGCTGTCGAATTCAGAGAGCTCTCTGCATTCACGTTCCCATTTACAGCTCCCTTGCCCTCACGCTGCCCCTGCCCCATTTATTTCGCCCTCAACTAAATGTTGTTTAGCTTCAACAAGTGGCATGCTACGCTCCGTTCTGCTCTGCGTGTGTGTGTGTGTGTGTGGGTGGGTTCTGCTCTCGTTCTGCTGCTGCTGTGTTGGTTGTCATCCTTGTTGTCTAGAGCCCGACACCAACAGAATTTTATTTAATGGGAAATTTCTGCTGCAGCCGCGCGCATTTAATTGCTCTAGAAATGCTTTTTTATTGACTTTTACTTGAACTCCTCTTCATGCGCCATACCCAAACGCGCTACAATGCGGCACCGTTGCTAAGGTTTAAGCTAAGATTTTGGCCTAAATCATAATACAATTATGGACTAATACATAGCTAATAAGTTGATTGACTGATTGATTGAATTTTGAAGAGGAAACTTGGAAGTTAAATTTATTTTATTTATGTATATGGGACTGTCTTAAATAAAAGTGAGGATTAATATATAATCATAATTATAAAATAATGATAATGAATATAAATGTATTGAATAAATGAATACAATTTTAAAGCCTGAAAGGCTTTATTTGGATTTTTCTTTAACCCTAAATTTTTATATATATTATTTTATGGTATGTGAATTATTTAAAAAATAATTTATTTGTTTAATTCATATGTCAATTATTTAAAAAGTAATTCATTTCAAGAACTTTTGGAACAGAGTTTCTTTTTAGAGATTTAAACCAAGTTAGACATCAATAACTTTCATAATAGCTAATCAGCATATATTCTTTAAATGTTTATGATACTTTTCCAAATTTGATTAAAATCATATTAAGATTTAAGATTTAACTAAAGATTGATTCAATTTAAAGTAGAGTTAATAAAGTTCGCCTTAGCCGCACCTGTTGCTTGCTTAACGTGGATTTCTTTCCCCCCGCTTGGCTCCTGGGCGAAGCAACGCAGCGCCGCTCGCGTCTCATAAAGCAATTATGCAATTTGCACAGACTGTGGTGACAATAACTGCGCAAGACAGTTTATGAGTGGATGGATGAGCTGTGGGGCAGAAGCTAGAAGCAGAAAAGCTCTTATTATGACACCCGATTCTGGTTCAAGGTTGTGGCCGAGGGCAGGCCCATATACGAATTTTCAATATGCTAATCCAAATTGCATAGCTAATCGGGTTCGTTTATTGCCCATAGGTTAGCCAAAATGATGCACTATCGCAAGGCCGAGAATGTGGAGCAGGAGTTGAGCAAAAATGATTTACCCTTTGAGGATTGCTTGCCAAAGGCGCACAAGGATTTTCTCTGGATGCACGTAAGTGAATAACAGTATTATATCCATACTGAATGTTTATTCATGAAATCCAATCAACAGGTCAAGGGCGGCACCAAGGTGAGCAATGTGATTGGCTATGCACAGTCGGCGCTGGATAAAGGCGAATATCGCAGCCTGGTCTGGAGCGGCTCTGGTGGCGGCGTTGTAAAGACCATATCCTGCGCTGAGGTGCTGAAGCGCAGCCATCCGCTATACCAGGTCACGCGGATGGGCTATACGAGGTAAACTGTTGGAATAGAGTTGAACTGAAAAGTGTTTTACGTATGTAATCCTCACTTGCAGCGTGGAGGAGCACTGGAAACCACAAATGGATGGCCTGGAGGAGATCGTTGTCAATCGCAAAATACCCACATTACATATACTCATGAGCCTGGACGAACTGGACGATAGTATAGATGGGTTGGTGCTCAATCTTAATTGATTAAAATTTTCATTATTTCTGATTTGTTCTTATTTTATAGTTTACAGAAACCCAATACAACTAGTGATTTCTGGCAGCATGATGAGCCGCCTGCTAATAGACTTGCAGCTGCCCATAGATCTGCGCCCGTCAATAGATCAGCTCCTGCTGCTAGAGGCACAAATAAACGCCAAAGATTTGGACGCAACAAACCGCAACAGCAGCAATCTCAACAAAATCAGCACAGCCAAAGCAAACCTGCAACCGAAAGTGGAGCCACTGAGCATACCTAACTTTACTTATATTAAACTATGGTTTAAATATATACTAAATAAGCTATTGAAAGGACCGTTTAGTAGTGAAACGTAAGGAATATGCCGAATAGACCTAATCAGAGAATATACAAATATCAGAAATGGTTTGCTGCGTAAATATATATGTCTCGAAAGTTTCTTGTCAGTCATATATTCTGTAAATGATTTATATATATATTTTATATTAATATTTTCTCAAACAATGTGTGACTGAAAATAAAGTTTTAGGGCAGTTGATGCTCCAAGAGTCTGCTACTTCCCATAAAAATGTTATTGCATACTTTTGTGCTGCACAATTAAAACCACTACAAAGGCCTTTTAACATAAGCAGTCACTGTAGTTTAACAGCCGCTTTTACAGTCAGGAAGTTGATTTTTAACAGCTTACCTACGCCTAGTGTATATGCAATGAAAATTTTAATGATCAGGACATTTCTCATTTATATTATTTCAGGCTGCCATTATTACTAATAGTTTGTCTAGTCTTAGATATGTATATACAAAGAATTCTTAAAAAATGTATGAATTCCTGTTATTGAATGCGAAACATTTCAATAATTATATATTTCAAA